CACCCAGGCTGGAGTGCAGTGGCACGATCTCGGCTCACTGCAACCTCTGCCTCCCAGGTTGAAGTGATTCTTTTGCCTCAGCCTCCCAAGTAGCTGGCATTACAGATGTGCATCACCATGCCCAGCTAATTTTTGTATTTTTAATAGAGATGGGGTTTCACCATGTTGGCCAGGCTGGTCTTGAAGTCCTGACCTCAGGCAATCCTCCTGCCTCGGCCTCCCAAAGTACTGGGATTATAGGCATAAGCCACCATGCCTGGCCTGACCCCATCTCTATTTAAAAAGAAAAAAGAAAGTTAAAAAAAAGTAATAATAAATAAAAATGGTTAAAAAGCCGGGCGCGGTGGCTCATGCCTGTAATCCCAGCACTTTAGGAGGCCGAGGCGGGTGGATCACGAGGTCAAGAGATCGAGACCATCCTGGTCAACATGGTGAAATCCCATTTCTACTAAAAATACAAAAAATTTGCTGGGCATGGTGTGTCGCGTGCTTGTAATCCCAGCTACTCAGGAGGCTAAGGCAGGAGAATTGCCTGAACCCAGGAGGCGGAGGTTGCCGTGAGCCAAGATCGCGCCATTGCACTCCAACCTGGGTAACAAAAGCAAAACTCTGTCTAAAAAAAAAAACGGTTAAAAAAGACAGCTTCCTTTATCCCTGGAGTTAAGATCATGAACTAGAGAACCCTCCAAGTCCCCTCCCTCCCTCCAGGCAGACAGGTTCTGGGTGGCATTTCAAAGAGCCTGTTTGCTGACAATTAAAAAAACAAGTTTGGGGTAACTGCAAAACTGGTCAAACAAGAATGGTAATTTGGGGTTACTACTGCATTCTGTAGGAAAGGGAAGGCTCCAGAGCCTGGTAGAAACATGTCACGCTCTATTTAGAGTGGGCGCAGGCTTGAATTTAAATTATTAGAGGCTGGGCGTGGTGGGTCACGCCCCTGATCCCAACTACGGGGGAGCTGAGGCAGGAGAATCACTTGAACCCGGGATGGGGAGGTTGCAGTGAACCTAGATTGGGCCACTACACTCCAGCCTGGGTGACAGAGTGAGACTCTGTCAAATAAATAAGTAAATAAACAAACTATTAGAAAAGCCACCACATGCTTGAGAATTAAAATAATCTGGTTACCTATTTTCTCTGAGTTCAAAGAATGGTAGCATTCTAGACAGAAAGGTTAAGGGTGTAATGGAAGCAGCCTTGGCTCTGGAGTTGTGTCTGAATTCCTGGCACTCCATGTGTAACCCTGGCAGGTCATGTGGCTTCTCTGTGACTTGATGTCCTTGGACTGCACCAAAGGCAAACATAAGCCCAGAGCCTTGCGTGGGTGATGTTGAAACAGACTTCAGCCCAACTATATACAGAGCACTTCCTGTTTGCACAGCACCTCTGGGCTGTAGAAACCGAAGGTCCTGAACCTGGAGTGGTTAAGTCACTTGGCCAAACTCACACCAGAGCTGAGGATTCAAGCCCAGGACTGTGGATGCCATTGCTTCAGTGCCACTGCCCCGCTTGATGCCACTGCTAATCACAGGCAGCCCACTTCCAGATGCTTCCACATTAACTTCAGCACGCATGTTTACATAACACAGAGATGTATGCAGAGCTGCTTCTCCAGGTGGCGTTCCCAGCCCCTGCCTCGCCTCCCCTCTCTTCTGGGCTCCCAGCCCCAGAAGTGCACTGGTGGCAACACATTCCTCCCCCACTGTTGAGCAGGAGCTCTGGGCCTGTGTGGTGGCCTCACACACAATAACAGCTGCTGTTGGGCCCAGCTCCTGCTGACCATGGCAGCCTTGTGACCCTCGAAGTGCACAGTCAGGAGAACACAAAACAAAAAGGCTTTCTCCCTGCCACCAGGGCAGGGCCACTCAGAACCGCACAAGGACGCTGTAGAACATTTTTCTGTGTCTCTGAAATGCATGTTGAATGACCCGAGTCATTGAGAAAAGCTAATAAGCCACCCACGGTCGATGATTATCTGTCATCAAGCCCTGCCATCATCTCTTCACTGGAAAGCTTTGGTTGAAAGCCAGCCAGTGGCAGTAAAAACAATCACGGTCAGTGCTTTGGGCCCTCGCTTTGCACACGTGGCACCTCTCTCTCACAGCAGCCCTGCAGAGGAACATCCTAGAAGGATTTCCATTTTATAAGTAGGGGAACTGAGGCCCAAGTCCCTTCATGTATCCTCTGCCATCCGGGTTGGATAGGTGCTTAAAACCAGTGCACTGGGGCAGTCTGGACCATGAGAGGGTGTAGAGATGGAGAGGCTGGCTGGGAAATCACTGACAGATCCCACATTTTCCACAGTTCATTCATTCATTCATACATTCATTCCTTCATTCATTCATTCGTTCCACAGATGTCATACAAATACCGACTGGGGTCAGGCACCAGCTGGGTGCTTGGGGCACAGCAGGGAACCTGGTCTCTGCCCTCTTCTGAGTTCAAGTCTGGTGGGAAGACTGTTGGTTTAGAAAAGAAAAAGGTGTTACACATGTGACTATCATCACTGATACAGTGAAATGTACTTGGAAGAAAAAGTAGAAGAAAGAAATAGGACTTTTATGAGCAAAAAAACCTGACATTACTTTTTCCAATATTTTCTATGAGAAAATTCAAACATGTAGCAAAGTTGAAAGAATTTGACAGCAAATTGTACTCGTATACCTACTACCTAGATTAATATTTTACTATACCTATCTATCCATATATTTACCCATCTGTCCAGTCTAATGTAAGCCTTTGGATATGATATATTTTTATTTTTATTTATTTTTTTGAGACAAGAGTTTCACTCTTGTTGCCCAGGCTGGAGTGCAATGGTGTGCTCTTGGCTCACTGCAACCTTCGCCTCCTGGGTTCAAGTGATCCTTCTGTCTCAGCCTCCTGAGTGGCTGGGATTACAGGCATGCGCCACCACGCCTGGCTAATTTTTGTATTTTTAGTAGAGACAGAGTTTCACCATGTTGGTCAGGCTGGTCTCGAACTCCTGACCTCAGGTGATCTGCCCGTGGTGGCCTCCCAAAGTGCTGGATTACAGGCATGAGCCACTGTACCCGGCCTACATTTAAAATTTTTTTAGAGATGGGATCTCACTCTGTTGCGCAGGCTGAGTGCAGTGATACAATCATAGCTCACTGCAGCCTCGAACTCCTGGGCTTGTGCAGTCCTCCCACCTCAGCCTCCTGAGTAGCTGGGACTACAGGTGCATGCCCACATCTGGCTCATTATACATTTTGGGAGAGGAGGATGTAAAGCCATCAGCTGGATCTGAGGAGCAGCCATACCTCCAAATGGGTTTTGCCAGTCCCCTTGTGGCCCATCCATGGCACCTGCCTGCCACCTCTGCCCCCCCCCCCCGCCGCCCGTGAGGGTTGGAATTGACACCCCCTGGTGGCACTGTAGTCTTTGGTGGGGTGGGGGGGTGGAGGATCTTGGCTCCGGGATTATTATGTAATTCAAGAATGCATGGTCTTTCCAGAGAGGCTGTAGCAGTGCTGGAAGAAAAATACCTTCCAGGCTAACAAGTGACATGGCCTCTGATGTGGTCACCCTAGGGAAGGTTCCAGCATGGCCCCTTGCTGGGAGATTTGCCTCTGCAGATATTGGAAAGAGGCTCAGTTGCTGAGAGGAGACTGCTCTCAGCAACTGTGTGACCCAGTATGAGGACAGCATGCCCAGAGCTTGCAGCAGGGGAAGGAGGGAGCCCTGGCCCTAGCGGGGCCTCATGGGGGAGCTCAGAGAAAGTGGCAGGGTTGCAGGTCAAGGATGGGTCTCATTCACTGGAGGTTCTGGGGGACCCTGTGGCTTCCACGATAATGTCATTTGCTGGGTCACAGCGCCTTACCCTAGTAACAATATGAAGTCATAAAAATGATTGAAGTCCAGGTACTAAGTGCTCACCACTCACCAGGCACTGCTACATGTGTTTGGTGCCTTATTTTTAATTTCTTAAAGAAGCATATGAAATAAGTGCTATTATTACCCCATTTGACATGTGAGGAAACTGAGGCACATAGAGGTGAGGAGGCTTGCTCAGATGAAGAGTGGTCACGCAGGATTCATACCCCATCTGTCTGAAACCCCAGCCTACTTTCTTTCCATTGGGCCGTGGGGTGTTTCCTTAAATGTTTAATGCTGTTTCTCTCATGCACCTCTTTTCATAGCTGCAATTAGAATGTTCCAGATGGCTGGCCAGGTGTGCAGGGTCTCCTTTGGTGGAATTCGGCTGAAGGAAGTTCCTCCCCTAGCCCTCTTGCCTCATGTAGTCGGCTGGCGCACACACTGAGGTCCCCATCTGGCCTCCTGGGCATTGGCATTTCACTCCCATGGGGCTGGCACTCGCCTCTAGCTTGCTCTGGGGTCTTTTTCACCTGGGCTCTGTAGCAGGCTTAGCAAGCTCACTTTTCTGGACTGGAACAAGAACAATGAGGTGTGTCAGAAGCCCAGCAGTCTGTCTTCAGGCTCGAAGGTGAAGTCTACATCGAGCCTGCTCAGTAAAGAACCTGCATACTTCCTTCACGGAAGGAGTGAAATGTCCTGTGACAGCCTCCCATGGGAGTGACAAAAGAGGGAGAGGAGGAGTGGCAGGCAGCAGGCTGCTCACATTTTAGCAGATCCCAGCACTTCCAGGAACTGCCAGGCAGTTTCTAGGTCTACATTTTATCAACTCCAAGGTGTTACTTATACGATGCTCCGATATATTATGACTCACCAAGAAAGGAAAACGCCTCCATTTAAGAACATTCTACTGGGTGTGATGGTGTGTGCCTGAAATCCCAGCATTTCGGGAGGCTGAGGCGGGAGGCTCGCTCAAGCCTGCGGTGAGCTGTGATCTCGCCACTGTACTCCAGCCTGAGTGCCAGAACAAGACCCTGTCTTTATTTGATTTATTTATCTTTCTTCAGTGCTACTTGCCAAAGGACCCTGTCTTTAAAAGCACACATAGGTGCTCGCAGATGGCGTCACCTGGAGCAAACTTAAGCTGCACGCTACTACTGAAGACAATGGCTGAACAAATTAAGAGGGCAGAAGTCCACGAGTGTATTTCACACAGCCAGCCGAAAACGCTTCAAGGCGAAAAACAAAGCCAAACCAGTTACCTCTAATCTTAAGAAGACAAACGCTATGAATGATGAAAAAGTCAGCAGAGCAGACGAAGCTTTTATATTCAAAAACCGCAATCACTTTTGCACTAATCTAATAAATGTACAAGAGAGATTTGCACACTTCTTAAAAGGCCTTTCTCCTGAACCTCTGCAGAAAGAACTGATTCTTCAGCAGCATCATGAAAATAAACCAGTTAATATTGATGAAGCTACAAAACTAATGGCTCAGTTCTAATATAGTGGTGATGCATCTAATTCCCCCAAAAGACCCATAAGTTAAATGTTTTATACAATTAAAAAAACACATTGTACAGCTCTAGACAAATTTTCTTTATTTTTTTAATTCAATCACAGACACCTCATACAGGAGACAAATTTTCTTTATATCCTTATTCTATGAGCTTTTTTCTATTTTAAGAGTTAAGCACTTAAAAAAAAAAAAACTTTTGTTAAAAACAAAGACAGTTTAGGTCTACACAGGGTCCTGATCATCAAGCTCTGTGATGATCAAGATTTGAGACAGAGTCTCCCTGTGTTGCCAGGCTACAGTGCAATGGCATGATCTCCGCTCACTGCAATCTCTGCTTCCTGGGTTCAAGCAGTTCTCCTACCTCAGCTTCCTGAGTAGCTGGGACTACAGTCGTGCACTACCATGTCCAGCTAATTTTTGTATATTTAGTAGAGACAGGATTTCACCATGTTACCAAGCTGGTCTTGAACTCCTGACTTCAAGTGATCTGCCTGCCTCGGCCTCCCAAAGTGCTAGGATTACAGGCATGAGCCACTGCGCCGGGTCAAAAAATTTTTTTTCATTAGCTGGGTATGGTGGTGCTTGCCTGTAGTCCCAGCTACTCCAGAGGCTGAGGCGGGAGGATCGCTTAAACCTAGAAAGTTGAGGTTGTGGTGAGCTATCATACCACTGCACTCCAGCCTGAGTGACAGAGTGAGATACTGTCTCAAGAAAAACACCCCCCCAGAATGCCATTCTGATTCCAGAGATGAACCGAATATGCGTCTTAAGATTGGAGTATTTATTTCAAACCATCCTCATCACACCTCTGTGATTGGTGCTGTGGCCTCATTTGCCAGGTGGGAAACAGGAAGCTCAGAGACTGAGCTGGGGACTGCACCCAAGCCCATGCTGCCTTAGTAACACCCAGAACAACTCAGCTCTCCCTGGGACACACCACGTGACCCACCCCCCATGTCCCCATGGCCCTGAAAAATCACTCTTGCTGGGAATCTCTTTCTTTCTTTGAGATGGAGTCCTGGTCTGTCACCCAGGCAGGAGTGCAGTGCCTGGGTGACAGGTGGCGCGATCTTGGCTCACTGCAACCTCTGCCTTCCAGGTTCAAGCGATTAAAGGAAATCTCAATCTCTCTTCTCATTTTGTCCCCAGATTGCCTTGGGTCCCCAGTGTTTACTCCCATTAAGGCAGACATAAGCGGCAACATCACGGTACGTACCTGGCCGGGCAGCCACAGCCCAGGACCTGCGTCAGGAATCTAAGCCCACCAGGGGTCCCAGCACCATGGTCTCAACTGCAAGCTTCCCAGCCCAAGGAAGGGGAGGGAGACATGGAAGATGGGCCCCAAGCTTGTCCAATTGGGGCTCAATGTTCTTGGCCCTCCGCCACAGTCTAGCTTGACTGGGACCGAAGTCTAATTAAAGTGTTGACCCTGAGAAAGAACCTGCTGGTTTTTCATCTATCCCCACCAAATAAGTAAGCCCCTAAGTCCACAGTCAGCATGCGTCTGGCCCTCCCCTTCTCCAATCCTGGTAGTTCCTGATGTCATCTCCCCAGCCATAGATTCCCTCCCTGCCTGTGAGAATCCACGTGGGGCCCAGCCAAGGGCTTGGGACATGCTGCATGGTCTGATTTCTCCATCCCAGCAGCCCTTTGAGGCTGGTCCTGTGTTATCCCCTTTTTACAGATGAGGAAGCTGAGACTCAGAGGGGTTGAAGGACTCACTTAAGGTCACAAGCAAGCAAGTGGCAGAGCTAGGATTCAGACCCAGGCCTACCCGGCTGCATCTCAGAGGCCTTCATTCCTGGACGTCTGAATCCTCGGATCCTATTTCCACTTGTCCACCAAAGCAGAACTTCAGATGCTTGGTGTCTGAGGCAGTGTCAGTAACAGCTGGAGAACAAGGACTCTGTACGACTGTGTGACCTTGGGCAAGTCTGTGCCCCTCTGTGAGCCTCAGTGTTTCTGCCTGTAAAATGGGATAATGACAGCAACATCTGGGTTGCCACTGGGATCATATAAGACAGTGCCTGTAAAGCCCTTGGCAAATCCTGGTTCATGCAAACAGTCGTAGTTAATGTTATAAGTTTTGTCGCTGCTGCTCCTGGAGCGCAGGAAGGAGTGGGAGATGCTGATGGGGTGCTCTGCACCCAGTGTGCGGGCCAGATGTCTGTGGGGGCAACTTACCCAAGGGGAAATCCTGTGTGCTCCATTTCAGAAAATCAAAGCGGTGTATGACACCAACCCAGCCAAGTTCCGGACCCTGCAGAACATCCTGGAGGTGGAGAAAGAAATGTATGGAGCAGAGTGGCCCAAAGTTGGGGCCACACTGGCGCTGATGTGGCTGAAAAGGTGACGGGCTCAGGTGGCAAGGCCCGGGTTCTGGGCTGCAAAGGAGGGAAAGCAAACTCATCACTGTTCCTTGGTGTCCATTCAGGCTGGGAAGGTCACTCCCCAGCCCTTCCAGTGTAATGCTAGTTAATGGCTGGGAAAAGGCCTCCTGAGGGCCAGGGTCTGGCTGACAGTGATGCTTCCTGGTTCTAGTCCCATCAGAGCATATGAGTGAGCGCATACACCTATCTGGGCACTGTGCTAAGCTCTTTATACGCCTGGTTGGGTTTCATATGCTGTGAGTTAGGTGTGGTAGCTATTCGCATCTCACAGAGGAGGCCGCTGGCACTTCTTGAGGCCAAATCACCTGCCCATGTCATCTAGCACAATTGTGCAAGTTGCATACTGCACAGAGGTATCCTGTTTAGGGCTGGTCAAGTGTACAAAGTGGGTATGTCATGACAGTTTCTTGGTAAAATTACACCATCTTGAGAAGGAATTCTTTTATTTTTATTTATAGAAAGAATCTCACTCTGTTGCCCAGGCTGGAGTGTAGTAGTGCAATCTCAGCTCACTGCAGCCTCCACCTCTCAGATTCAAGCAATTTTTGTGCTTCAGCCTCCTGAGTAGCTTAGATTACAGGTGTGCACCACCATGCCTGTTTAATTTTTGTATTTTTTTTTTTTTTTTTTTTTTTTTTTGAGACAGAGTCTCACTTTATCACCAGGCTGGAGTGCAATGGCACAATATCATCTCACTGCCACCTCTGCTTCCTGGGTTCAAGTGATTCTTCTGCCTCAGTCTCCTGAGTAGCTGGGACTACAGGCACGCATCACAATGCCCGGCTAACTTTTCTATTTTTAGTAGAGACGGGGTTTCCCCATCTTGGCCAGGATGGTCTCGATCTCTTGACCTCATGATCCACCCATCTTGGCCTCCCAAAGTGCTGGGATTACAGGCATGAGCCACTGCTCCCAGCCTAATATTTGTATTTTTAGTAGAGACAGGGCTTCACCATTGTTGGCCAGGCTGGTCTCAAACTTCTGGCCTCAAGTGATCCACCCACCTTAGCTCCCAAAGTGTTGGGATTACAGATGTGAGCCATCATGCCTGGCCTTGAGGAGGAGCTCTATCTAATTTGCGCAAATACATCCTATGGGCTGGTTTGAACCTATGCTGTTCTCTACCAGCTACAGATTCTTCAGCCCTCAAGCCCAGCACTTCTGTCCCTTAGAGCACCCCACCCTGACTCAATCCCTACCCCACTGCAGGGAGGGGGCAGAGCAGCTCACCTGGTGACTCCAATGAGAGAGTGAGGGGAAACAAAGGAAAGAGCCTGCCTTGGGGGTGAGGCAGGCAGGTTCACATTCTTTCTTTTTTTTCTTTTTTCACTAACCACCTGGAGATATGGGTTCACATTCTGGCCTGTGACTGAGCCTTTCTATGGTACCCTCAATGCTTTCTTCTGTGAAATGATCTGATCGTACCAAGCTCAGCCTCACAGGCCTGAGGGAAGCAAGAGATGAGATTGTGGGTGCTAAGCGGCGGGCCCTGGTGAGATGTTTGACGTGGACTCCTTGCTGTGCCCCATCCACTTCTCCTGGCTCATGAAACATTACCCTACCCCTCGAGGAAAGGCTCAGGTGGCCATTGGAGGATGCCCGGGGATGTGTCAGGCACAGTGGCAACGAAGCAGATTTAGAAAGATGCTGAGGGCTGTAAGTGGAGGTGGGGAGCCCAGGGCACATGGGGCCAGTCTCGGCAGTGTGCCCAGTGTGTCCACAGTCTGTGGTCCGTGAGCCCTTTGAGGGCCAATGCTGTGGCTTCATTCCTTAAGCACTGATGGCTGCCTACCCTGTGCCAGACTGTGGGGGTCACATGGACACAGAAATGGACAAAGCAGCCCCAGACCCATCCCTCATGGATCTTCCAGCCAGTGGGACTGTTGTCACAGGCCAACACCAGGCCTGGAGGAGAGAAGGTGCTTGGGAGATAGTGAATGGAGCCAAGCGGTCACGTTACTTGTAAGCAGAAGGGAAGATGATTAGGGAATAATCACTCCCACTGGGGTGTACATGTTCCTGGCTCATAGTTGGTGCCTAATTCAGAGTCCATCAGGGTCTTCATAGCAGAACTGTGCAGGTCCTAACGAACCTCCTCCCTGGGCCATAGGGGCCTCCGTTTCATCCAGGTCTTCCTTCAGAGCATCTGCGACGGGGAGCGGGACGAGAACCACCCCAACCTCATCCGTGTCAACGCCACCAAGGCCTATGAGATGGCCCTCAAGAAGTACCACGGCTGGATCGTGCAGAAGATCTTCCAGGTGAGCCGCGCCCACCAGCCCCAAAGGACCACACAGGTTCTGCTCCCTGCTCTGCCGCTGCTTGGCCAAGGCCTCCTGGCCTGTGAGGCTGCATTTGCCCCTTTGGGCTCAGGAAGGGCTTCCCCGTTTATTTGGGTGAGGCTGGTATACTGAGAGGTTCCCCTCCTGTGCCCTTGGCCCGCCCCATTCACAGCCACAGCAGGTGTCACTGTAGATACTCCATGGTGTTTCTTTTTGGGGCCTTGGCCTGTGAGGCCCGATGAGGGGGCAACAAGAGAAGCCATGGGGAAGGCCCTGGAGGACCCCAGGTTGATGGTGACCCAGCATGACAGCCCCCAAATTCAGGCTAGATCCCCACCTGGGGCACGTGGGGAAAGAAGGGCCCCATCCTTCTGGGAGCATCTGCTGAAAGGCCCTTTGGGTTCTTGGTGGCTTGTGTTGGGTGACATTGGCCCCGGCTCCTAGAAGTGAGGCTGCAGCACCTGCCTGGTTAGCTGAGGGCCCTGCTCAGGAGACATCCGAAGGCCCTCTGGCTGCCCTGTGCCATGCCCATCACCTGCTGCTTGTGGCCCTCATCTCACCTGTGTGTCCCTGCCCAGCCTGTTCTAGCCACTCTTTCTGCTGCAGTTCCCTCTGCCTGCCCACCCTGGCGGCCATGAGAATGAGGGCTGATGGGCCCTGTTCAGTGTTCCTATGGGGTACCGGCTGCAGGCAGCCTGGGGCAGAAGCCAGTATGGTTCCAGAGAGGAAGAGCTGGTCACAGGCTGAGATTCATGGCAGTCCCTGGGCCATCCACCCTGGCAGAACTGGAAACAGGCTCATTCCCATGGCCCCTTGAGAGCTCCACAGTGCATTGCCCCTACAAATTCTCAAACCACCCCAATAATAACAATGTGTCCTTTGTACCCGGCCAAGGGCAGCTGCCCATGATTTGTAATCTTCACAAATGCACCACAAGGTGGGCACTGTTCTCACCTCCATTTCCCAGATCAGGACAGTGATGCTCAGATCAGGTCACACAACACAAAAATGAGGGGCTGTGATCCTACCTCCCTGAGCCTCAGTATCCTCATCTTTCAAATGGATATAAAATAAGCCCTACTCAAAGAGTCATTGTGACAATTAAATGAATTCATCAGTATAAAGTGCTTGACACATGGTTCACATGGTTTACACTCAGACATCAAAGCTATTATTATTTTGAGACAGGGTCTCACTCTGTTGCCTAGGCTAGAGTGCAATGGTACAGTCTTAGCTCACTGCAACCTCCACTTCCCAGGCTCAAGCGATTCTCCAGCCTCAGTCTCCTAAGTAGCTGGGACTACCGGTGCGAGCCACCAATGCCTAGCTAATTTTTGTAGAGATGAGCTTTCACCATATTGTCCTGCCTGGTCTTGAACTCCTGAGCTTAAAGCAATTCTCTTATCTCAGCCTCCCAAAGTGCTAGGATTACAGACATGAGCTACCAGCCCAGCTATTACTACTTTTATTATGAAGGAATAGTTAGTATTTGGTCGAGCACGGTGGCCCACACCTGTAATCCCAACACTTTCGAAGGCTAAGGCAGGAGGATCACCTGAGGTCAGTAGTTGAAGACCAGCCTGGCCAACATGGTGAAACCCTGTCTCTATTAAAAATACAAAAAATTAGTCAGGCATGGTGGCGGGCTTCTGTAGTCCCAGCTACTTGGGAGGCTGAGGAAGGAGAATCGCTTGAACCTGGGAGATGGAGGTTACAGTGAGGTGAGATCGGGCCACTGCACTCCTGCCTGGGTGAGAGAGCGAGACTTTGTCTCAAAAAAAAAAAAAAAAAAAAAAAAAAAAAAGACTATTTTTCTCAGCCTATCAAACTCATAGCCTAAGCATTTTTTTTTTTTTTTTGGTGAGACAAAGTCTCACTCTGTCACCTGGGCTGGAGTGCAGTGGTGTGATCTCGGCTCACTGCAACCTCTGCCTCCCAGATTCAAGCAATTCTCCTGCCTCAGCCTCCGGAGTAGCTGGGACTGCAGGTGTGTGCCACTATGCCCAGCTAATGTTTATATTTTTAGTAGAGACGGGTTTCATCATATTGGCCAGGCTGGTTTTTAACTCCTGACCTTGTGATCCACCACCTCAGCCTCCCAAAGTGCTGGGATTACAAGCATGATGAGGCGCCGTGCCTGGCTAGCCTACGCTTTTTATCCAGTTGCATCTTTTTTCTTCTGGCTCTGAAATTCTGTGAATTTCTAATTCTCCGCACTTTTCAAGTATCACAGCAACTGTGAAATTTAGAGAAGTATCGCCCCCCCAAGGACAAAAAAGAGACCACAGCACAGATTAGCAGTCTTCTCCCCAGCTCAGAAAGTGTTTTTTTCTGAATGTATTTTGCATATGAAAAGGACATTAAAAAAGAAAGAAAAGAAAGTGGGTTTTCCAAAGGAGTAGTTCACTTTTTCCAGAGCAGGGAACCCAGAGGGAGAAGACTCAACCGTGCTGAACACCTACTGTGTGTCTGGTGTTGTGCTGAGCGCCTACCGTATGCCTGGTGCTATGCCGAGCACTTTGTACAACCCCCTTAATCCTTATAAAAGCAAACTGAATGACTGGGTGCAGTGGCTCATGCCTGTAATCCCAGCACTTTGGGAGGCTGAGGTGGGTGGATCACCTGAGGTCGGGAGTTTGAGACCAGCCTGACCAACATGGAGAAATCCCGCCTCAACTAATAAAAATACAAAAAACTTAGCTGGGTGTGGTGGTGCCTGTAATCCCAGCTACTCGGGAGGCTGAGGCAGAATCGCTTGAACCTGGGAGGCTGAGATCGCACCATTGCACTCCAGCCTGGGCAACAAGAGTGAAACTCCATTTCAGAAAACAAAACAAACAAAACAAAAACCCGATTAGGTGGGAGCCATTATCCCCATTTTGCAGATGAGGAAACTGAAGCTCAGAGAGCCTTGACTTGCTCAAGGCTCACAGCTAGTTGGTGGCCCAAACTGGCATTTGCACCCAGGTCTGTCTGTCTCCAAAGCTGATGTCCTTCCTGCTGTCTTTCAAAATACACCTCCCTTTTCCTTTCCCTTCCAACACCTCGAATAGCACAGCCCCCTGTCCAGCACAGACCCAGGGAGACTCTCCCGGAACCCTGTCTGCTAGCCTGGCTTCTCCGCCCCTGCTAACACTGTACCTACCTCCCTTCTTGACCGTCTCAAGGCAGCGCTGTATGCAGCCCCCTATAAGTCCGACTTCCTGAAAGCACTCTCCAAGGGGCAGAATGTGACAGAGGAGGAGTGTCTGGAGAAGATCCGCCTCTTCCTAGTCAACTACACGGCCACCATCGATGTCATCTATGAGATGTACACCCAGATGAATGCGGAGCTTAACTACAAGGTGTAGTCATGCCCACCGCTGGGCACACCCCTGCCTTGAGGCCACACGGAGAAACAGGCAAACCAGAATCACTGTGAATCAAGTCGGCGGCTGCCCCTGGCCTGTGTCCCCCAGAGCAGCCCAGCGTCCTGCCAGAGTCTGCAGGGGCAGCCCTCATTTTTTAAAAGTCTTTTTTTGTTTTGGTCTATTCTAAAGGACCCGTAAATAACGATCTTACTTCCAAATCTCCTTGGAATTTCACGACAGCACAGACTGACTTATGCCTTCAGTTCAGCGTGGTGAAAATCGATTAACGCTTCTAATGAATCAAGTCCTAGGGTTTTTTGGTTTAGTTTTGTCGCCAATGAGGAACACAACTCTAGGGGAGTGATGTGACCCACCTCACTTTAAAAATAAGCACATGATGGCCGGGTGTGGTGGCTCCAGCCTGTAATCCCAGCACTTTGGGAGGCAGAGGCGGGCGGATCACCTGAGGTATGGAGTTTGAGACCAGCCTGACTAACATGGTAAAACCCTGTCTCTACTAAAAATACAAAAAATTAGCCGGGCGTGGTGGTGCATGCCTGTGGTTCCTGCTACTTGGGAGGCTGAGGCAGGAGAATTGCTTGAACCCGGGAGGCAGAGGTTGCAGTGAACCGAAGTTGCACCATTGCACTCCAGCCTGGGCAACAAGAGCGAAGCTCCTCAAAAAAAAAAAAAAAAAAAGGCGGTGGATCACTTGAGGTCAGAGTTCGAGACTAGCCTGACCAACATGGTGAAACCTGTCTTTACTAAAAATACAAAATTAGCCAGGTATGGTGGCACACACCTGTAATCCCAGCTTCTTGGGAGGCTGAGGCAGGAGAATTGCTTGAATCTGGGAGGCGGACATTGTTGTAGCCAAGATCTCGCCACTGCACTCCAGCCTGGGCAACAGGAGTGAAACTCCGTCTCAAAAAAAAAAAAAAAGCACGTGACCTTATATGAGGCTCTCGCTGTATTGCTATTTTGGTTATTTTAAGGACTATGAAGAGTTTGATTTGAAATTATGCAGGGTCCCTATGTGGGTTTTTTTTTAAAAAAAAGCAAACTGATGTGTATTCTCATGTGGTTTGCACAGCCCAGCCTCACAGCACCGTTATAAACCCTGCTCTTTCTGTCTTTTGCTAGACAGGTTTTGTTTGTTTGTTTTTACAGGTGAAACCAACCAGCAAGCCCTTGATGACCAAGAGGCGTTTCTTTCTAAGCTATAGGGCACAAACAATTGACCATAGGTTGCTAGGTTTGCATTCTTCTGCAGAGTTATTTCCTTCAGGGACACATTTTCCAACCTAAGAAACTACCTACTGTATGTACTCTCTTGACGGGGAGAGATGAACCCTTCAGCTGCTAAGACCCAAGAAAACGCCTCACTGCCTTAACCTTAACTGTTCTTCCTGGCGCTAAAAAGAGCTGTATTTTTTAAAGTGCTGGGGCAAACAAAGCAACCCCAAAAGAATTGATGTGTGTTTTAAAAAAAAACCCAATGAGGAACAATTGGTGATTTTTATGTAGAAACTAAATAATCCTTAATAAATAAATCTATTTTGGAATCACATCTATGTACTGTATTGGTTCTTGATTTTTTTTTTTTTTTTTTTTTCTTTTCTGCTTTAGAAATTACAACTGGGGACCTTTACAGATCCTACCAAGAGTCCGGGCCCGGTGGCTCCTGCCAGTAATCCCAGTACTTTGGGAGGTCAAGGCGGTTGTATCACTTGAGGTCAGGAGTTCAAGACCAACCTGGCCAACATGGTGAAACCCTATTAAAAATACAAAAAAAAAAATTAGCTGGGCACAATAGTCGGCACCTGTAATCCCAGCTACTCTGGAGGCTGAGGCAAGAGAATTGCTTGAACCTGGGAGGCAGAGTTTGCAGTAAGCTGAGATTGAGACACTACTCCAGCCTGGGCAACAGAGCAAGACTCTGTTTAAAAAAAAACCAAAAAAACCAAGAACCTGTTTTCTGGCCTCCATGGTTTTAAATTTGTATTTATTTATTTATTTTAAAATGTTTTTGTAGAGATTGGGGTCTTGCTATGTTGCCCAGGCTGGTCTCAATCTCCTAGCCCCAAGCAGTCCTCCTGCCTCAGCCTCCCAAAGGGTCGGGATTATAGGCATGAACCACTGCACCAGGCCTGGCCTCCATGGTTTTAAAAAATAGAATTGGTTGCTGCATTGAGACATGGGAATTTCACATAAGAATCTTGGGTTTCAGCAGGGCAAGGTGGCTCACACCTGTTCTCCCAGAACTTTGGGAGGCCAAGGCAGGTGGATCACTTGAAGTCAGGAGTTCAAGACCAGCCTAGCCAACATGGTGAAACCCTGTCTCTACTAAAAATACAAAAACTACCCAGGTGTGTTGGTGGGTGCCTGTAATCCCAGCTACTTGGGAGGCTGAGGCAGGAGAATTGCTTGAACCTGGGAGAGGGAGATTGCAGTGAGCTGAGATCGCACCACTGCACTCCACCAGCCTGGCTGATAGAGTGAGACTCTGTCTCAAAATATATATATATAAAATATCTTGGGTTTCTGTAGCCATAAAAAAGAATGAGAATGAAAGAACAGGAACAGAAACCCAAACATCACATGTTCTCACTCATAAGTCAGAGTCGAACAATGAGAACACTTAGACACGGGGAGGGGAACAGCACACACGGGGGCCTATCGGGGGTGGGGGCTAGGGAGGGAGAGCATTAGGACAAATACCTAATGCATGCAGGGCTTAAAACCTAGATGACAGGTTGACAGGTGCAGCAAACCACCATGGCACATGGATACCCATGTAACTCAAAAAAAAAAACAAAAAAACCATGAATCTTGGGTTTCTAGCTTTTGAAAAACCAGGCTGCCTACAGGAGTTGAGAGATGACTGCCCCCTTGGCTGGGCAGGGCAAAGGAAGGAGGAATCAATTCTACATTTTGCCTGAGCCTCCACGCATCCCTGTTGCCTCCTCACCCCTCCACTAGTTTGCACTTTTTCATGAACTGTTGTTTTTTTCTGATTCTAGGGTTAAATGTAGAGGGAAATATTTATTTTATTTTGTTCCTGCTCCTGTCAAGCTTATAATCTACTGGGCAAGATGGACCCATAATTCAATAATGATGAAATAGAGTGGTCAGTTTCCAGAGGGAACCTGGAGCCTCAGAGGAGGGGCAGCAGCCTGGGCTGTATCTTAGGGATCTGGGGCATGTACTGAGACTCTGTGGAAGTTTGGGGGTGGAGGAGCCTAGTAGAAGAGGAGGGGCAGAAGACAATTTCAAGGCATAGGCAAAGACCTGGTGGCTTGACCCGGAACAGGCTGTGTATGTGTGTGTCACATTGCACTATTAAGGGATTTGACTGGACCCTGAAAATTACGGTACACCTTCAAGGCTCTTGTGTACAATCGAATACACCCAGGTATATGCAGATATCCAGTTTGGAAAGCTCCCTCTGATGCTGTCAAGAGATGGAAGCCTGAAATAAGGTTTTTTGTGTCTGATTGTATTATATTTTCTAATAGTCCTCAGATTAGGGATGCTACTGTTCATTCTAAGCTCTAATTCCTTTTTAGGTTTTTTCCCCTTTGGATTTCCTAGAAATACAGAATTCTGTCTCTCCTTTTTAAAGTGGATTTTTTTTTTTTTTTTGAAACAGAGTCTAGCTCTGTCGCCCAGGCTGGAGTGCAATGGTGTAGTTTTGGCTCCCTGCAGCCTCCACCTCCTGGGTTAAAGTGATTCTCTTGCCTCAGCCTCCCAAGTAGCTGGGATTATAGGCACACATCACCACATCCAGCTAATTTTTATTGTTATGGTTGTTTTTGGAGACAGTCTTGCCTCCCAGCCTGGAGTGCAGTGGCATGATCTTGGCTCACTGCAACCTCTGCTTCTCAAGTTCCAGCAATTCTCCTGCCTTAACCTCTGAGTAGCTGGAATTATAGGCGCACGCCACCATGCCCAGCTAATATTTTTGTATTTTTAGTAGAGACAGCGTTTCACCATGTTAGCCGGGCTGGTCTCAAACTCCTGACTGCAAGCGATCCGTCCACCTTGGCCTCCCAAAGTGCGGGGATTACAGGCATGAGCTGCCGTTCCTGGCCTTTAAATGATCTTTTCTTCATGTCTGTAACATAATATGGTGAGAACAGGGAGGGCGATTTTTTTTGTAGAAGGCAGGGATTTTTCCACACCAGCCCCCTTTTTTGATACCTGTGGGGACCCTTGCGAGCATTTTGGGTTTTTGACTCCAGAGCCAAAAGCTAGCTGGGCATCTATGCCCTTCTCATTTCATCCTTGTCAAAGTGGGACTGAGTTCCGCCTGGAGCAGGGAGGAAAGAACACACATTGATCACTATATAACAAGCAGGCCCTGCAAAAATGTTCTATACAGATCATTTCACAACCATTGGGACGTGGACCTCAGTAGCCCTGTTTATCAGAAAAGGAAATTGAACCCCTGAGGGCGCCAAAGAGACTTGCCCAGGGTAACCCAGCCAGATGTGGGGCCACAAGAGTTTCCTGTCTATCTTAAAATCTCCCCTCAGTCGTGTTCATTTGTGTGCCAGCTGACAGGGAGCCCAGCTTCAGCACGCCTCCTGCCAGGATGTGTCCCGCTGATGGGGGGCTGCCTTATCTGACCCAGGTTAATCCCATACTGTACAGAAACTCAAATTAGCACAAATGTTTGAAGAGGGTTGACATTCACTTGTTGATTCATTCAATTAAAACTCACCGTTGAAATTCACTCTTTAACAATTAAGCAGCAGCAGAACTTTTTTTTTTTGAGGAGTCTCCTCACTCTGTTTCCAGGCTGGCACGATATTGACTCAGTGCCACCTCCAACTCTCTGGTTCAAGTGATTCTACTGCCTCAGCCTCCCAAGTAGCTGAGATTACAGGCAGGTGCCCCCACGCCAAGCTGATTTTTTATTTTTAGTAGAGACAGGGTTTCACCATGTTGGCCAGGATGGTCTTGATTTCCTGACCCCATTAACTGCCCCCCTCAACCTCCCAAAGTGCTGGGAGTATAGGCATGAACCTCCAAGCATGGCCAGAACTTTTTTCTTTTTAAAGACAGGGTCTTGCTTTGTCACCCAGGATGGAATGCAGCTGTGCAATTATAGCTCACTGCAATCTCAAACTCCTGGGCTCAAGGGATCCTTCTGCCTCAGCCTCCCTAGTAGCTGGTACTACAGGCATGCACCACCACGCCTGGCTAATTTTTTTAAAAAAATGGAGTCTTCCTCTGTGGCCCAGGCTGGAGTGCAGTGGTGCAATCTCAGCTCACTGCAGCCTCCACCTCCTGGGTTCAAATGACTCTGCCTTAGCCTCCCAAGTAGCTGGGATTATAGGTGCCCACCACCACACCCAGCAAATTTTTGTATTTTTAGTAAAGATGGGGTTTCGCCATGTTGGCTGGGCTGGTCTCGAACTCCTGACCTCAGGTGATCTGCCCACCTTGGCCTCCCAAAGTGCTGGAATTACAGGCGTGAGCCATAGCATCCAGCCCCGGCTGATCTTAAAAAATTTTTTTTGTATTGACCATGTTGTCCACACTGGTTTAAGGGGCCTTTATCCATTCCTGTACGAGGGCTAGGATAATTTTAAAGCTGAGATAAAATGCAGAAATAGCAATCACATAGTTTTCAAAACTAACTTTGGGATTAAAGAGGAAGTATGTAGACAATTATATTTTGTTAAAGATTTATAAGAACAAGGAGATTTGGCTAGTGTTACATGAGAGACCATTACCCAAGGACAAAGAAGGTTCACAAACCTCCTCCTGACCCTTGCCGGCACCCAGATGTCTGCAGTTGGCATCTTTCTTTCCCCTCTTACCTAACATAAAAGACATGGCCAAACCCACATAATTCTAAGAGGGCTCTTCAGAACATTTAGGCCATCTGGGTTTGCTGGTCCTCGGAAATAAAGTCACTTTCCTTGCCCCAACTCCTTGCCTCTCGACTTAGTGGTTGTCATGCAGGGATCAGAAGGCGTTTGGACTCAGTTACAACTTCCCCTTTCAGAGCTTCAGTTTCCTTGTCTGTAACACACAGTGCTTGTTGGGAGTCTTCAATTACATGTTACCATTTATAAGGTAATAAGAACAATGTTTGGAGCATAGTAAGCTGCCATAGTAGGTGTTCAATAAAACTGCAAGAATATGTTTACGTGATGGGGGTGTACGGTGATGAGATTTAGTGCTGGAGTCCTGGGTCTGCTGTTTATTAGGGAGGTAGACTTGGACAGCTCATTTCACCCCTTCCAGCCTCAGTTTTCTCATCCATACAATTGGAATACCAAGTTAGTTACCCGCTCACCGAGTCAATGAAGCTGCCCAGGCAGGCGCTTATCTGCGTAATCTTTCAACGTTGACCCAGTTACCGTCGTTTGCAGGAGGTTATATGGGGACACCACCCTTCGGTTCTGCTGGTCGGTGGATGGGGTTCCAGGGTTCACGCCGGGCCCACCGTCCTGCGCCTGCGCACTAAGCGCCTGCAACTCCCACGGGCCCGGTAGATGGCGCTGTCCCCATTGCACCGCGGAAGCAGAGCTGGGAGGCCCCGCCAGGCCCTGC